TGCGAAGCTTCCGCAGAACGTTGAAATGGACGCTATGTAAAGGAATAGTTTTAGCGTCTTACTGTGTTATCATCAGTAGAGCACATCAGTTTGCTGTTAATGCCGGCCGTGTCAGAATTGTTAGCATATGTGATATACGTACGACAGCATGAGTAAATTTTCACGACGTTGGTTAGATTTGCACTCATTTAGTTTCTTCTTTCCATGTAGCCACTTGCAATATCTGCAGTACACCTTGCTTGTGTTTTCAACAGACATTGGAAAGATCGAAGAGCGTTTGTCATGTGTGAAACACAAGATCCTCGTGCTGTCCGGAAAAGGTGGAGTTGGAAAGTCAACAGTTTCATCTATGCTCGAGCAGAACACTATCCATGGATGTGAATAAAAGCGTAAGTCGCTCAATGGAGGTCCATGTTTGCAGGACATCGCACCAGCTGCTTTTTTGTGGGTTGGAAAAGTTGAGAGTTGAGAGAAGTCAGAGCTTTTGTCCGTCAGTTTACTTTTTCCATTTGTTCTCCATTTCGATATTCTCGTCTATTAACGCTTTGGTCATTTCTTGCCGCGATGTTTGCTCATTTCTGGCCACCGGCCTTGCTCATTTCCAGCCGCGAGATTTTCACCTGGCGATTTCATACTGACTCAGTTGTCCCTGAAAATTGCTGTGTCCAAATTCCCGTATCTCCTTAATTCCTCTTTGAACTCAACTACCCTGGCTGTGCGTAGCCCCGCGTGCCGTCGGTTCTCGAGTGCGCCCCCGAGCGCGCGGTGCCAAGCGGCGCGCGGCCGCTGCCTCTGAGCTGGCGTCCTCCGCGATAGGTGGCGCTGCTGGACATCGACATCTGCGGCCCGTCGGTGCCCCGCATCATGGGCCTGGAGGGCGAGAACGTGCACCACTCGGGCTCCGGATGGTCGCCTGTCTTCGTAAAGGTCAGATCGGCGTGGCCGGCGGGCGATGAGTGGACCGCACATGAATTATGTGTGGAGCACTTGTTTTGGCAAGAATGGTGTTGTCCTTTCTTGCTGTTGTCGTTCAATACGCAATGAAGGTCCCAGAGTGGCGTTGACGGCAAGGCCGTAAGTTGTACGTTCTGATTCTGGTGTGATGCAGGAAGAGTTACGATTTTGCTCTACATGAGGACGACGGAACGGACCAAGTCATCGTCGTGACGTTTACATTCCCGATAATGTGGTCATCGTTAACTGGCCTGGAGTGGGAGCCTTACCATACCGCCCGCCAGCAGGAGGTCTCCGCCATGATATCGCGATCCCCGGTACGATTACGCCGCCGCGGTGTCGGCCTGCTCCACGTGGCGCGTGTCGCCGGCAGGATAACCTGGCCGTCATGTCGGTGGGCTTCCTGCTGGCCTCGCCGGACGACGCGGTCATCTGGCGCGGCCCCAAGAAGAACGGCCTCATCAAGCAGTTCTTACGGGACGTCGATTGGGGCGACACTGATTACCTGATCGTGGACACGCCGCCGGGCACCTCGGACGAGCACCTGTCGGTGGTGCAGTACCTCCAGTCTAGGTGAGCAGTCTGGGTCCAGGCTCCCCCAGGACAGGGTCTGTACCGCCGAGCACCTCAGACGAACACCTGCTGGCAGGCTATCCCAGGTCAGGCGAGGCTCGTAGCCAACGCGGTCGTGGAACCGATCGCAAAGGTGCACATTTTGTGCGGATATACTTCATGTCAAAGTTCTGCCTGCCTGTTGGGATCGGCTGATCAATGCGCGTTGAAAGGCCAATCATGCGAATGTCATCGAAATGAGTCGTCAGGTGTGTTCTCAGGAAGTGCTTAGATTGTTGCTTGAATTACTTTAGTTATTAAATGAAATCTTCACATGGTCGCGCTTATCAGTGTTTTATGGATGCACGGCCTTGATCTGGAATTTCCCGTAATTTTGGTGGCATTCTGCCTGCTCCGTAATGCTGTTTACAACCGCGTGCTCGCGGCGCTGCACTAACCTACGTTACGACTGACACAGTGGCATAGACGGCGCCATTATCGTGACGACACCGCAGGAGGTGGCGCTGCTCGACGTCAGGAAGGAGATCACCTTCTGCAGGAAGGTCGGCGTGCCTGTCCTCGGCGTGGTCGAGAACATGGCCGCCTTCGTCTGCCCCAAGTGCGAGGTTGGTGAACGCCGCCGACGCCCTCCGGGTATTCGTGGTGTCGGTGTGTGCGTGTTTTGCACGCAACTCCTCGGCACAGGACTGCATCATGCATTATACTGTGCGTGCTGAAGTATTTGCCGTTTCCGAAAGCAGGCCGAAATAACATGATGAATTCAGCGTTCTTATGTTGACAGTTATTAAACCTTTATGTAGCAGGAGATACGGATTAGGCTGCGTTATGACGTTTCAGGTTGTACTCATGATCACAAGTGGGTCTCCTCGGTGTTCATGATCAATACTTGACCGGTCACCAATATATTTACGCCTTGTTGACAGCCGCCGCTTTTTCCTGAACGTAAAAACAGAGGTATTTCTCTGTTTACTCGACTGGGACTTTCGCGCTGGATTTGTGTGGAACGGCATTTGAGGTGTGTGCGTGACACACTGCAGTAGATGCTTGACTCGACATGGCGGCCACGGTGAGCTGCTAACCGCCAGACCGTCCTGACACGCATGAGCTGTGCGTCATGATGAGCCCGCTGGCTTTCAGACGACCACCAGAATCTTCCCACCGAGCACGGGAGGCGCCGAAAAGATGGCACGTGACATGGAGGTGCCGTACCTCGGCTCCATCCCACTGGACCCCAGGTTAGCAGATAGCTCGTGACTTGCGAGTGCCGCACCTCCCGTCAGTCGCATTAGACCGTAGGTGGGCATTACACCGCATTAGATTGTAGGTTAGCAGACGAGGCGTTCTGTGCAGGTACCTGCCTCAGCTCCATGCCACTGGAGCCGAGGTGAGGCACTAGGAGATAAGCAGAGAGCATGTCACTGCTTTGTTTCGGCTCCGGTTCACCCGCGGCCCAGGTGAGCAGATGGAACAGGACGTGCAGAGATGTCACACCGGCACCATCATGCGGGACACGTATGGGCGGAGCCATGGGTTGGCGGACTCGCGTGGCCCGCCTCCACCAGTGGTTCCCCACCCAACCCCGAAGCACTTGTAGGCGATTTGAGCGGCACTGAGCATGCGCTGGGCGGCGCGCGGCTGGTGTGTCGTGCGTTTCGGTGGGGTGCAGCACTGAGGTGTCCCGGTGGGACGTGTGTCTCAGTAGGGCGCAGTGCTAAGGCTCGTCCCGGTGGGACGCAGCACTGAGGTGTCTCAGTAGGGCACAGCGCTGAGGTGTGTCCCAGTGGGGCGCAGCACTGAGGTGTCTCGGTGGGGCGCAGTACTGAGGTGTCTCGGTGGGGCGTGTGTCTCAGTAGGGCGCAGCGCTGAGGTGTGTCTCGGTGGGGCGCAGCGCTGAGACGTGTTTCAGTGGGGCGTGCGTCTCAGTAGGGCGCAGCGCTGAGGTGTGTCTCGGTGGGGCGCAGCGCTGAGACGTTTCAGTGGGGCGTGCGTCTCAGTAGGGCACAGCGCTGAGGTGTGTCCCAGTGGGGCGCAGCGCTGAGACGTGTTTCGGTGGGGCGTGCGTCTCAGTAGGGCACAGCGCTGAGGTGTGTCCCAGTGGGGCGCAGCGCTGAGGTGTGTCTCGGTAGGGCGCAGCGCTGAGGTGTGTCCCAGTAGGGCGCAGCGCTGAGGTGTGTCTCGGTAGGGCGCAGCACTGAGGTGTGTCCCGGTAGGGCGCAGCGCTGAGGTGTGTCTCAGTAGGGCGTAGCGCTGAGGTGTGTCCCAGTAGGGCGCAGCGCTGAGGTGTATCCCAGTAGGGCGCAGCGCTGAGGTGTGTCTCGGTGGGGCGCAGCGCTGAGATACGTCTTGCCGGGCAGGGTGGCGCGCAGCTGCGACGAGGGCCTCGACCTGGCCGAGGAGCCGACCAGCACCACACGGCGATACGTCGACATCGCGTCCAGTGAGTGCCAGAGCCCAATGGGCAACGGGCAGTTCATGTGTTACGCTACGCATGGGAGAGGGGTAATAATGGAGCGTAATCGAAGCGTAACAAGGGGTAGGGGATTTGGACAGCGTAGCGTTGCGCTCATGTATGGTGGTAAACAATGCTCAAGTATTTTTGTGGCGTTTCAACACTTGGATACCGTTGGCCTCCTCTCGTGACAACGAATACGTCTGCCTTTATGTTGCAACTCCAGCTCAACTACGGGCTAAACCGACAGTACCTTTTTGGGACGTTACGCTTGACATAGCCTAACCAAGGAGGGCTTTTCGTTCAACGCAGCCAGTTCGTAACTGGGTCGGGGGGGGGGGGGGGAAGTGTGCAACATAATTTATGGACGGAGACGCCACGGACGGACATGCGATCTTTCACGTCTTAAGGAAGGGGGCAATAACGAGGGGCGTGGTGTGGCATGTTCCTGTCCCCTCCTGTTGCTGTCCTGCTCGAGTACCCGTCTGTGAGTGTGTTGGGCTGATTGTTGCATGGTGAAGTAGTTTAAAATTATCATCATTGCCAGGACCAACGCCGCAGTACGTCCTAAAGAAGCAAAGTATAGTCAGTCAAGTCAGTAGAGATAAGCACTGCGTGGATCTGGCGACCTGACGGCACCGTCCTTCCATTTGCAGGAATCCTGGATGCCTGCGAGGGAACGGTTAAGGAGCGGAGCGACATGGAGACGGCGTAGTCGCGTTTGTCAGCGGTGTTGTTTCATTGTATTCCAAATGGATCGGTTACATTATACCCAGGATGAACGAGGCTATTATGGCACTCATGTAGCGTCTAGTGACCATCGTGACACTCCTTGGGTTGAGACCAGATGGGTCGAACTATCCTCTGAATGGTTTGTGTGGGGGTTCAAGAGAAGTCGGAACGGCGACGGCTCTTCCGTGGTACTGTTCAGGTCGTGGTAGACTAGCCCACCAGAGCCCTGCATCGTGCGTGCCATAAGCAGACACATGTCTAAGGACTCGACCCTTGGCTGCTTGTCGCCTGTCGGCTGGATGTGGTCGGATACGGCAGTCTTCCGGGAAGGAAAGCGAATGACGACTCTATTAAATATATTAAAACATGTCTCACCGGTATGTCACAGGTACAGATAGTATTATTTTAAATACACTCATTCCACTCTGGACTGCGATGTCTCATGCGCAACCCCGCACGTTCACCGTCGTGTATGATATAATGCAACGGCCACTGAGGACTACCTGCCAGCATCTAATACCAACGACGCAAGCCAACAATCCCACCATATAACCATAGCCTTGAAGCATGAAAGACTAGAATGCGTCACAACACCAACCCATTAAAATTCCCTGTGCCGATCCATCTCATTGCACGCTAAGGCGCCTCACCGAAACGCCACGACGTCGCAGTAGGCGAGATGGCGCCTCCATCGTCTTCAGTGGCGCCTTCTCCCCGCGGGGACCTTTTGCGCCGCCCAGCGCGCGTCCCGCTCGGAACGGTCGTCACCGGGTGCGGAGCTCCAGCAGTAGGAAGGCCTTAAGACTGGGGTCGGTCACATTAGCCTCGATGGCGCGCCGGCCGGCCTCGCCGCCGTCGCGGTAGTGCGCCGCCAGTCGCTCGGCGTACTCGATCCAGACGCAGTTGGCACAGCCGGACATGCAGCAGATGGTGGGTTGCTCCGGCGGCGGCGCGTCCACCGCCTCCGCCAGCGCCGACAGGTTCTCCAGCAGCTCCACGCTCTCGCCAGAGGACGACTCGCCGTCAGAGGAGGTGGCAGCGTCGGAATCGCCGGAGCTGTCCGAGGGAGACGCGACAGGGGATGGTGCACTGCTTTTTGGAGTGAGTGGTGGTGGTGATGTAGATGTATTACAGGGTGGACCATGTCTAGTGAAATATTTCTTATCTGAGAGGCTGATTTGGCCTGGAGACACAATAGGTATGGATTGAGTACAAATTGTGGGGACCCTTGTTGAGAACAACCAATTTTTTCTCACTAAGCATCTCAATGGCAATGCCATTCTATTCTTTGGAGGGTTACTTAGCAAATGTACCAGGATAAATGAATAGCACAGCATGCAAATGAAATGCAGCTATGACAAAATTACTTTTGTGGTATGATTGACTTGATGATGATGATGATGCATCCCTACTGGTGGGTACCAGAAACACCTGGAAGCACATAACAACATTTTACCTTGCAGAGTAACATGACAGTATTCAGGGAAAGTTGAAAGTTAAATCCATGAACAAAAATGACTTTCTTAATTCACAGCTTGCATGTACACTGTGTTAGTCAGAATGGTGTTCTTTCTCACAACAATGTCTTCATTTCAATTTGATCAAATTCACACACATTTCAATGCAAAATTACAGGGGAATTAGTTGCAATGCTTAACATCATAGTATGTAATCTGTCTGGCACTGCATGTGCATATGTCTTTAAGAACTTGACATTCTTCATTGGATGGTCTATGGGGGAGCTTTTTAATATGTCATTTGTAATCAGGGCCTGATAAGGGAAAATCATTCCTCTATTCACAGTTAGGAAGCTATTCTATTCACAGTCAGAGAAAGGTAGCTATACAGGCTAGAGCACTTTAAAACAAGTGGTAGGAATGAAAGGGAGGATGTTCTTTAAGTGTATGCCTGTTGCTGTGCATATGCAGAATTTCACAAACAGAAATCAACATATTTCATTGAGAAATATACCAGTGCACCAAGCACATTCAGACCCTGTTGGATGGGGCAAAAGTTGCAAAGACAGTTACACGGCACCTTTCCAACAATATTTGTCCACCTGGCGAACAAGCTTCAAAGCGCAACCGATTACGAGTTCGCAGCGACCCACCTGCTAAACCCGGGCTCGCTCTTTTGAAAAAACTGCGCAATTCACAAATCCCTTGTATGGATTATAAGCACTGACCCTTCCATCCAACCCTAAATGCACGGCATAGAGCCTTGCTGCACTCACCACGAGCGTCACCACACTTTTTTGCGATAAAGCAGCAATCGCCTCTTCTGCAGCATAGCTGCCGACTGCTAAGTTATCGGTAAATACCAAACAAATATGTAGCGACCCTACAAATACAATGTAGCTATTTATCTTGTATTTCGCTATTTTGGATCAATATGACATATTGGTGGACAATTTAGTTTTTCCTTCAACATTAAATTGAATTATGTGATCTTATGCTGCTTTAAAAGTGCTAAAAAACATTTGTTTCAAAATAGACTGAATTTTATTTCATGAGCTCTTGATGAGAGATTCATGGGAGTTATGGTAAACGGTGAACCTTCATTCAGATTCACCACTGTCTGCCGGTCTCGCTGCGCGGGGCAGGCGCCTTGGGGTAGGCGTGTTAGGAGCGAGTTACAGTGCAGGGTTGTGGTACAATTTTTTATAGCATTAGTGAACGTAAGCGCATGTTTTGAGTAGTATGTGGCATGTAGTAGCATGTCATGCCCAACAAGTTGTGATAGCAGGCAGGATAACGGACAGTGAACGTCTTCTTTCTGTAATAATAAAATAAGTGTCATTTGCATGAAGCGTGGTTGAAGGAGCATTTGACAGAGAACACTGCTCAGAGACATACACCCTACCCCCCTATCCCAGATGCTGCAGAAGTCTATGCAGTATTTGTGGTCACCACCTTCCAAGGCTCCTCATTTGTGGAGAAACTGGATTGTGACGACTTGCAGGATGTGACTGCTAGCTGGTTGCCTGCCTGTACAGAAGTCCCTCTAGCCAGGGTCAAATTACGGATGAGCATGGGTCATTGCTGGCATTTTATTTGCTAAGAATCTTGAAATAAGTGGTAACCATATCAAAAACTGCAGACTAACTTGTTTTATGGAACACATCAGTGTGTTCTAAATTGTGTGTTGTGTCCATTATATCCCAAATATGTTACAAATGTTGTGATTATAATACTCAGTGAATATACTAGCTTCACATTGACAGCCTTGCTTGAGCTGTTATGTGCAAGATTCATCAAAGTAGCAACTGATGATAATACTCATTCATTTGTCACTAGATGTAGGTGGTAATGGCCTGCAGTTAGCATTTCTGTGCATGACATTAACAGCAGTCTTTTTGTTTCAGCATTGATATTTGCAAGTCATGTCCTCTGAAGCTGTAAAAGAAACTGGGAATAAAAATGCTGACCAACCGTGCCAGGACAGTGCGTCACATGGTGACAGCATAGATGGCGACAAGCAGAGTTCAGTAGGCACAGACAAAGAAGATTTTGGTTATGATTTGTATCCTGAAAGACATGGTGGAAAGTATAAGCCAGGTTTTTGGGAGCATATGCTGCTTCATGAGGGTGAAAACCTAAGTGATCAGATTACTTGTGAGAAAAATGTCTTCAACTGCTTCAAGAAAAGTAAGTCTCTGCATCATTTATGGAGAATCAACCAGTGATCTGCTATGTTACATTTCTGAAAATGGCATGCAACAGCTGGGATATTTTGCTTGTTGGGATTGTTTTCCTGTGTGGACAGCTCAGGCATTGGTTCAGTGAGGGCAAGCTTCTGGCTGCTGCAAGGAACTATTGGTAATTGCGGATGGCTGCTGACACACTGGACTAGGTTGGGATTTGGCAGGTATTTGGGATAGTGATCAATGACCATCATTGGCCATCATTGATCAGTGATCATCATTGGTACCATGAGGATAAGCATCTTGCTGCATGGGATGTTTGGCAAGTGCAAGTGACAGTGGACCCACTATGAGTGAGGCTGGGACTTAACAGGCATTCAGGATAATGAGTGGTGACTGCATTCAAGATAACAGCTAAGGCAAAGAGGAATGGCATGGATAAGTCATAGTAATCATAAGGCACAGGAGTACTGTTTGCTTCCCAGCTGGCCGGAAAGATCGACCCGGGTCTCCATCGTAGATGTGATCTCTAGCTATTATTCTAGATGCATGTCTGAGGACATGTGATGTGCCATGCCTTGGACCCCATGCTTTTGATCATGGAGTAATTAATGATGCTGGTCAGCAGAAAATCACTGGCCTCGCGAAGCCAATCATTGCAAGGCCAGTTGGATGGTTTGCGTGGGGCTTCTGTTGCTATTGACATGTCATTTGCTGGGATTCTTAAGTTGAAACAATCACACTGCCCTGCTACTTTTAGGGTTGCCTGTGTTTCAGGTTGAGTCTACACAACATGATTTATGAGGAAAAATTGCACTGGTGTTTCTAGCACGGCCATACTGGTGTGTGGGTAGACATGATTTTGATATTTGTGTGATTGTTTATTGATTGCTGTGTTTCAGGTTATGGAGTAAGACTAATGCTAGATGCCTTGAAATCGGCAGGATGGTAAGTGTTTTCACTTTTTACAATTCCAACTTGAAATTTGATTTCCTCATGTACATCTTGACAATGTTGTATTTGGTGTTCAGGGACAAAATGAGTTGATATGATGCATGAGAGGTCATCCAAGTCAAAATACTATTTGTTTTGCCCCACAACACTATTTGTAATGCTAACTAGCCATGTTTCAGGGCAGATTAATTCTACTGTGTTTGGTGTCCGAGGCTGAGAGGCTGTTTGGCAATGACAACATGAACATAACAACCAGTAAGCACCCAGTAATCATAAGGCACGGGAACACTGTTTATTTCCATTCGGGCCGAAAGGATCGACATAGTTCTCCATGTACATATGATCTCCTGCCATGATTTCAGACACATGTCTGAGGGCCTGTGGCCTGTCATGCTTTGGATTCCATGACCTCCAACATTCAGTACATGGTACCGGTGACTTTTTCTTCACAGTCCAGTGGATATGAGCAGGAATGTGTCCTGTGAGACATGTGAACATATTGTCACTGGTGGCTATGACCCTTCCACAAATCAGGTACGTGCGGCAAACCTTGCCTAACGGATTTTGCGCACATATTTATTCAATCGCACTTGCAAAGGCTGTTGATATATTACAATACACAAATAGTTAAATGCTAGTATCCTCGCTTATCAGCGTCGCCTCCATTTCTCGTCCCTCCACTGTAGCTAAGGTGATATGGCGGACATCCTTATGCCACCAGAGCTCCTTACGCCCCGAGCCCAGCGGGCCGTCACGTGGTGCATAGTTTATAGGGCGTGCGATCTCGTTGAGTATCAGACTGTGTGGTTGGGCTTGTGCGATATGTGGGGTTCTGGAACGGATAACGACATGCTGGTTTTGACTCGGCTTTGTCTTCGGGTTAATGCTGGTGCCTTCCACTCGATGGTCGCAATAAACGGAGCTTATGCATGTATATATGTATATATATATATATATATATATATATATATAAGCTTCATAGATAGCATGAAGCTTATGAGCGGGCTGTTTGCCGCATCTAATGCTGTTTTGTGTTGGTCTTTTACAGATTGTCGTCTGTCAAAACGTTGCCCGGAAAGAAAGCGTGGTGCAGGGAATCCTGGTGCATGAACTTATACACATGTTCGACTTTTGCACCAAAAAGGTAAGTGGCTTCAAGTGAAATTGTTCGTTATGTTCTGTTTCCGCGCAACATTAACCACACTGGAAACGGTGGGAGTACTGGAGTCCGTTAAAGAAAAGGGGTAAGTACTGCTCTCCCCCCCCCCCCCCTCCCCTGCGATCAAATTTTGAATGCTCTGAGATGCTTATGAATAGATTCTGACAACAGGGGTATCACTTTGTACACTTTCGGGAGGCTGAGCCCTCCCCCCCCCCCCCAATCCTGACTTGAGCCTCCTCGATGCTCCTCTGAGTCCCTCCCCCTCCCCTCCCTCAATTGATACGAGGAAAAATGATATTTCGAGCCAATGAAATGCAACAGGTGTCCAAACTGCTGGTACACCAGGTCCTATACGCATCGCTATCGTTATCGTCATCATATATCATCACAACCACATCACAATCACATCATCACATCGCATCAAATTTTAAGTCGTTCCCCAACAGCAAGCAATTTTGGAACTGCCTAAATATTTGTTTTATTTTTTAATTTTGACGGCAGGGACGCAAATAAAAGTGACCGAAATCTGGGGAGAAATCAGGATTTCAGGGAAGGTTAGGTCAGTTTATTGGCGTGGCCCCTTCCCCCTCCCACCGATTTTAGAACGTGACAACCATGGCTGACAATATTAAATCAAGTTAAACTCGTAAGAATAGGTTAAAAGCAGGCGATGCTGGTAGACGCCATGCAAGCATAAAGATATTTCGCACGTCTGGTGCGCGAAAAGCTTTTCGTAGTCGATCTGTGCATTTGTGCTCCCTCCCTCCCCATCTCCGTGGCGAAATTCTGTATACGCCGCTACTGGGAAATATTTAATGTATTTTCTGTTGCCCCCCTCCCCTCCCTCCCTCCCTCCCCCTTCCCCCATGGACGTTATGTGACCTCGCCGTTGAAGCGCACATGAGCTCTATTTGCTACTTCTCTGCCCCTCCCCTCCCCGACAAACACTGCCCCCAACGACGTCTGTGACGGTGCCCACGTCTATGTCTCCTGCCTCTGTTGCAGTTTTCCTTTTTGTTTGCTGATCTGCAGTGTTGCCTTTGAATGGAAGTATCGAATATGTTGTCGTGAGACGGAAGTCACTTCCAATTTGGGACATATTTTGGTTTTCTCCGTAGCGGATGCTTGCGCAACGTGGCCACCATATTTCCCCTTTTGACTTGCTCGGTGCTTCGATCATGTACCAATAAGGTGCCCTTTTACACGTCTTCGGGTTATTATATCACCTGCGAATTTCTAGGAAGAGAATTGGTGTTAAACCTTGTCACTTCGATAGTCGCTATACGTTCGTTTCAGAGCTAAAGCAGGTCCCTGATTTGTGGTTCCAGTCATTGCGAGAGATGTCTGGAGCGCCTTAGGCTACGTGGCAAACTACGCTTCATGGACACAATCTCAGATATGCGTGTGTTGCTGCAGGTAAACTTCGAGAACCTTGAGCATTTGGCGTGCACTGAGATTCGGGCTGCCAATTTGACCCACTGCAGTTACGTCAGCTCCATCTTGCAAGGAGATTCCAGCCCCATCAACATCAAACAGACGCACCAGGTAAGATATGGGCTCCAAGTGAGCTACATTTTTACTGTGCACTAGAACACTAGGAGTGCTAGAGCACGGCGACGGAGCGTATGTGTTCGTGCTCTGCAATGTGACCTCAGCCGAACAGTGGCAACGCTGGCTGAAAACGGCTATAGTTGCGAAAGTGGTTGGTGTAGTTGTACTGTATCATGTTCATGTGATTCTTTCTCTTCGTAGCGCGTAATGTTACTGATGAACATGAATGTCAACAGGACTGCGTCAAGAACAAAGCGGCCTGCTCCCTGGTGGCGGCGCGCGGAATCACAAAACGCGAGGCCGTCCGCATAGTGGACCTGGTGTTTCCTAAGTGTTACGCTGACCTGGAGCCCATCGGCCGACGGGTGCGGCGTAACAGTGAGGATATCCGCAGAGCTTACTTGGAGCGGCACAAGTACGGATACGTGTGACCAACCAAACGGACTAGTCATTTATGAGGAGGTAGCCATTTTTGCATTGTTACGTGACCAAGATGCGCCGGAACCGCAGTGGACTTGTGATTGTCAATTCTCGTTGATTGCTCATTTATCGTGAGAGACAATACAAGGTTGTGCAAATTATCATGATCGTAATGTGTTGCGAAGTGGGCTTGGAAAGTTCCCATAACGAGTTTCCTTGGGCGACAAAATGCCACAATTATGCTGCATGCAATTTTAATGTAATTTTAGGTAATTGTTGGTGTGTCCGACGCCTTCCATTTTAGACTGACCACCCTAGCATAAACTGGTCTAATCTAGCTATATGGCGCATGTTCTACATTGCCCATGCGACCGAATGTAGCACGTGATCAGCAGGCCGCGAAAATATGAACAATGCACGGATGGATTGCAGCTGAGTGGTCAAGCCCTAATAACAACGGTGCCAACGGTGGTTAACACGCCCTGTTTTAAGCTCAAGTTAGGCTGATGGATAGGTCGGCTGAATCTCCCAGTCTGCCGGTTTTTCTTTTATGAGTTACGGCCGGGAAGGAAAATATTGTTTATGTGAGCATTTAATCTATGAGTTGATTTTCAGTGACCCGTTTTTGGAAGAGACCCAGGAACGTACGGGGGACGTGCCTTAAACGCATTGTCACGTGATCAAGTGTCTATTATATTCCCCTTTCACCATTGTAGTCGCATTCAAAATCTGCGTAGATATACTGGACATTTGTGTCATTAAATTCGTAGTCGAAGCATGCAAAAGAACGACCTGGAGGTGATCAAATTTGTTGTGTCATGTGTATTTGTACTGGCGGTGGAAGATACTACTACAGCAACATATCAAGTGCCTCCTATAGCTGCGCTGTCCACGCTTTCGTCTATCTCCTGATCCTCATCTACACCCTCAACTGGTTCATGAAGCCCAAATACTGCGGAGTCTGTCGGAGACGTGGCGGCAAGTTTTGCCCCCCTTCGGGCATGGCGCTCAGTCCCAACTGTCGGACCTCGCGCCGGTGCGACTGCTGCAGCCGGCCGCCCTCCCGCAGCGTGTCGCCCTGCCGCCGGCCGTGCCCCGAGCCGTTCCGCTCCAGGTCCCGCGGCTCGCTGAACTGCGGCCGCCGGTCTGGCAGGCGCGTGTCGGTCTGCAGCGTCAGGCGCTGTAAGCGGCTGGCGCGCACCACCTTCTACCCGTGACGACAAACTGGTGGGCCACGTGCCAGGGAGGCGTGGAGGAAGTCACATCGGAGGTCGATTGCGCGTATAAAATGAGCGTCTTCAAGGTTGCGTGGACCTCGTAACATTGCCGTGTCGCCATGTTATTGTATGCTAGACAGCTGTGTGGCAGAGCGTATCGTGACAGCTCGTGGACTTATGGGCAGGTAATTTTTTGAGCATGCAGATATACCTAGTACGCGCTTTTTAGCATCAACAGATCAGTTGATCCCTTTTCTATATAATGGTACGTAGGCAGACATATCCCTCGGGGGCATTCGTTTGCTGATGTTAATTTATCGGCGGCGAGCGACTTAGCAAGGCTTATTGCGTCGGGGTATCTACAATGTCTGTAAAGGTTCGTACGCACGGGTGTGTGAGGGCTTATGCCGACTGGGGCTTTAAAAAGTGACGTCCATTTTCACGTACAATAGCATATTCGAATACAATCTGTTGGCATTTTGTGCTGCAGTCTGCACTGTCTTAGGCCGTTTCCGGAAAATCAAATGTGGTGCTTTATTCCAGTGTAATAATGGTACAGCCTCCTGACCATCGGGGAGGGGCTCCAACCCACGGAACTTTGGAGAGAAATTGCGTCGGCAAGAATCCGCTTGGCTATATTTGGGTGCATGTTGAGCCATATTTTCCCGCGCAGGCCCGGTCCTAACTTGCTTTGCGCCACACACCCTCCCCCCCCCCTCCCCTCCTGTGTCGGCTGATGTAATGTGCGAGCTATAAAGGAATTTTTGCAGCTCGTACAAGACAGCGCAACACCCAGACCTCCAGCCACGGAAACTCTCCCCCCCCCGCGCCCACTCCCTACACTCTGCTGCGTGGCACGTTTTCCATGACAGCGTTTATGTCAGATTTGCTTCATACCTAGCCATCATTGTATGATGTCACAGACAACATACGGCTCATCATTCCACGCGCCGTTTTGAAATGTCGCTTATACTTACTTGCATAATTGCATGGTGTGACTTGGCATGGCCGTACCCCCAATGGTGTTCACACAGAACCATCCCCTCAATTTGTGATGCAATTTGTACCTGAGTTCACCATGATGTTTTATAATTGGCAAAGTCGGGCATTGATATGGTATATGGTGACTTCCAGGGGTCAGAACTGTGCGCCCGCGAAAATCCGAGACCCGTTCTTGTAATCTCGGATGTTCTCAACTTATAACGATTGTAAAGGAAATAGAAGAGGCTAGGATTTTCTAGGCTGTGTCTTTTTCTGATCAAGTCAATGAGAAATCATACTTTCGGCGAACAGCTGATCATTTTAAGACAAAAATTTATCTCCAGAGCTATGCGCCAATGAAAAATACTATCGATACGGCTCGACTTACCATTCCATGAACTGTTTGGTAATGAGTCACATATCCTGCTCACTACAAATTTCGAAGGGTTCGTCGTTTTCTGCCGAATATGATCCAAATTGAAATCGACTGATACGGAACATGCTTCACCATACGACATCTCCAACGCCACAGCGGGGGGAGGGGGGGGGGGGGCAAATCACGCCAGCGGTGGACTCGGACTCCGCTTCTACCTGCAGCAGGGGCAGAACTTCACTATTGTCCCGGTTTCTGGTTGTACGATCCCCGAAGCCGGACTTCTCGGGGCAAAAGAATTGTCCTGCTTCTGAATGCATTCCAATGTTGACAAGCATTCTCGAAGAAAGGAAAGCGAAAGGACTTGCGTACGCTGATGGAGGCAAGGGTGGATCCGGGAGATGGGGCCGACTCCCCCCCCCCCCCGCCCCTCAAAGGTCGTGAGACCATGGTTCCCCTCTCCAACGGTCTGACGTATGCTGTTATGTGCGTGCACCGGCATGTTTCCAACAGTTAATGGCATAGCTGGTTTCTCGTTCTGCCGCTGCTGGGGCAGTAAAATGTGTCAACGGTCGACACACCCGCAGCCTACGGCGGTTGCGGATCTAAAACGAGTTGTTCATTGCTGGCGGATGGTTAATCCGTTATGACATTGACATTTAGAGATGGGACTTAACCCGCTATTCTTTTGCCAGAATACCCCAGTGATCAGAACGCTGATGACCATGGTGCATCATTACAGTCAGCCTGCCGGTAACAGATATTTATATTCACTGCACACAGCCGTTCCACGCACGACACAGTGACGTGAACCCACGCCACGACGCCGGGGTCATATCATGCACACACACACACGCACACACACACACATGCACGCACGCACGCACGCACGCACCCACGCACACACACACACGCGCACACACACACGCACACACACACACACACTTCAATAACGGTCTGCCTCTCTCGCAAAAAAATAGCGGAGATCCGCCGCTGGATGGAGGTATTGGGGTGAGGTTTACAAAGGACGGGGGCATTAAATGAATGCCGGGGACCAATGAGCTTTCCTTCAAGGCACGTTAATACGGAGGGATCAAAAGTGCCTTCTGCTGTGCGTTCCTCTCCACGCAATAGCTTCGTCAAGAGTGTGGTAACGTGTCGCGATCGCAGTATGTGTGCAGCTGCGAGGTATGTGTGAGGAGTACGTGGTTGATGGCATGTCTGGTGATGGCGTGATGACGGCGTAGCGCATCAGAGAGGGGAGAGAGGGAATGCGTCGGCATCGGCACTTTCGTCTTGACGTTTCGGTCAGTGGCAGTGCCAGTTAGGCTATACGTGGCTACTTTTCCATCCCTGTTAGGATGTATGTACCGAACCCATTAGACATTTGGACACGTTACTGATGAGGGGTGGAAGAATATGCGGTGTGGAAGGTGCGCGAAGCAGGACATCAGTGCTCAGACTGTAAAGCCGAAGCAGTTGATTGTGTCAACTGTGGTCAAGGCGTGTTTTGTCGTTCTGAGGCTACTCAGTGCTTCCGACGCAGAAAGCCATCATGGGCATCAAGACGAAGGGGAAGTTTTTTTAGATAGGCCCAGCGTTGAGACGTTCACATGAATGTGTTACGGACAAGCCCCGCCCGCAGATAGGCATGCAAGCACCGCAGCCAACCCGATTTTACTAAGAGGATCACATGCTAACGCGCGGTGTGTGATCCGTGGGGCCAAAAATGCATCGTATTATACTGCATTACTTCGATAAAACCACCCTCAGTGGGCCGTGGCTATTATAGTCCCGTATCTAAAGTACAGGAGGTAAGCTGGACATGCAGGTAAAAAAAACAAAACATGAACACACAAACACCCGTTCACCGGCTACCAATAGCATAAGCGCTCAAGCAGGTGCTCTCTCACTTCGCGTGTGAAACGCTGCTGTGGCAGTTGTGTGATGCCGGCTGGCAGTGCAGCGTGCAATGCTGGCGCATGGTACCCAAGACGTCTCCTTCCGGGCCTCGGTTCTCGACCAAGGGAGGCGTACGAGTCTGTCCTGCCGAGCGGGTCGCGTACGTGTGTCGTGGTTTAACACACCCTTGGCCCTCAGAATAACAGGCCCACCGTGCAGCATCACCTTATGAGCCAGGGTGCCACCTGAAGCTCTTCCATGTTCTGAAGCGACATCTATCGAAGTGTTCCACGCAGGTCAAAGACATGGTGAAGTCTACTCGGCCAAACATCACCGGGGCAGCAAAGCTTAAGATCTTTTGTATTCTATCAAAGTCCGTTTGTGTGTCATTGCCGTAAACTGTGAGGCAGTATCTGGCCTTCGTAAGCACCATCGCCGTCACTTGAATTTTGATGACTCGACCTAGGGAGCTGCATCATAGTACACTGAAAGTAGATTTATCCCTACGTCCGCAAATTAACTCATCGCCGATGGGTAATGCATTATTTACTTGCCTGCGAAGGATTTTCATCATAGTTTGCTACTCATTCACGATTATTCCGTGATGACAATGAATCTTTTCGGGCGTAAAATCTGTTCACTCTTCCTGCTTAGATGGTGTTTACTGGCAACCTGTTAAATGCCTGAAATAATGGACTAATTGCCCGGATAATGAATTAGTGAATAGTTCGGCATGCATAATGCTTACATGTAATGCCTGATACGCTTGACTATAGTCAAGCGTATCAAGCATTAATCAGTTTACTCCCCTCGCAAAAATACGTAACTGAATGTACCAGATAGCAAAAAAGGCTTGTGCCACCATCTGTTAACGCCTTGTCAATGGCTCATAATGATCGAGCTCAGTCATGGGCACATGACAACAGCAGTCGGCGCGAACTAAAACCCCGATCCTCATCGAACATGCAGCTGACTTCTCACAGGTGCAATTGAGATGCCTCGCGATATCAAACCTGCACTGTCACAGGTCGCGTAATTCAGAAGCTACGAGAAATCATTCGCTGAAACCTATGGTTTTTGAAATCAGCGTTTCAAGAATGCCTTCCACACACAATTTAGACGGTATCGAGACGCCCGAACATGGCAGTACGATATTAATCTGCTGCTAGGTGGACGGACGTCCGCAGCTGGGTGTTGGGTGACCAGATATGAAATGCGCGTGCATCTTACGTCATGTAATCCAAAGGAAGCCTAGCTGTGATGGACATATGCAAGCGTTCGAATGTCTGGCGTCGGCAACAAGCTTCGTTCTTGAAAGGGTGTGCTGGACGACCATTCATCACCTGTCACCTGTCACCTGTCACCTGTCAGCAGGGCAGCCTTCTCCATTTAAGGCAGGTGTCACCATACCATTCATCCAAAAATTAAATATTTGGTAGCCGTAACTGCTACCATATTACGACATATCTGGAGCGTCATCGACGTTCTCGCGTGAATTTGTAAGGAAAAAATGAGTGCGTGGGAAGTGTGAAAACTGGGTTTGGCTTGTTTTTGTCGTTCGTCTTGTTTTCAGTGCTGGAGCTGTTAACGAGTAATCTGCGCTGCGGCACTGTTGGAATAAAATGTGGGTAACTTCTGGTGATCTTGTGGTTTATTATGCCGCTGACTTTCGCGTGCTGTCAGCTGTTCGCGCCAGCTCCGTGTGCGTTGCTGGATGCAACATTTGAATGTTTGCGTACCATTACCAACACTTTCATGTTGCATCATGTTCATTATCATTTGAAAGTAATTGGGTTCTTTAAGTCAATATACTTTCTGGGAATACTGTATTGCAGTGTAACAGGACTTACTATTATTTGTGAGTTTGTGAAAGGTAGCAGAGTTGCTGAATATATGGGACAGGTCCAATTCTTCCCCAAGCAGGGCAGCCTTCTCCATTTAAGGCAGGTGCTAATGATTTGATAACCAGAGAGGAGAGCAGGTCTCAAGATTTTCCTAATAATTTACACCTGCTGACCATTAATTACCAACACCACTATGGTCAAAGTGGGTCAAAGACACTGGCTTTGCCATCCAATGTTTTGGATGTCACCTTGAAAATGCTAAATTTATATTATAAAAATATGTGCTTAACATCTTGCAATGTGAAGGACACAACCCATCATTGTAGAGCAGCAACTCTAATTGTTGACCCATCTGGTGTGGGTCTGTTTGCAGCTGTTGTATCTGCTCAGCACAAGTAGCAGAGGCTCGAGTGTGTTCTTCTTCACACTCGAGCAGGATTTGTTGTCAAGCTCATCATTTAATATGTGGATCTTTGGGTATAGGGGATGTGTGAGTAGCAGCATGCTGACAGACAGGCAGCATACTACTGACAGACAGGGTAATATGACAGTGATTAAGACAACTATGATAAAGTTGAGACAAATTAGGCATACTCAGCCTTCAGGTTGTGTTTGCCTGTATGAATTCTCACTCCTTTGTTTTACACATTCAAATTTTCAATTCCAGCCTGATCTCCACCCAAGAATTTCCTGAACTTGCTCCAGATATCAATTTTGCCTCAACTCTGCTCCAATGACTTGTCATCATAATATGCCACATTTTGCGGACCAGTATGTGTTACCATAGAAATCCATGTGTACATGTATTTCCAGCTTTGGTGTGTGTATGTGTGTATTTGTGTGTGGTGGGAGGGAATGAGTGTCAAAAAGCATATGGAGTTGGGACAAAGAGAAAGATCAGGTAAGTACTTGTCATGTGAGAGCACATCTTAGTCTTAATGTTCACTTTTACCATATCATAATAGCCATTATCATCAGCATGAATCAGCATTTCTCCTCAACCATGGCCAGTCTTGACAGTTCAACTCTCTTTGTTGTAATTCATGAAATCTTTGTTTCTAAACTCCTGTGGTGTAGTCAGGCACAGGTAGTGATAGTGTATAAATATACTTTGAAATGACAATTGGCAGCATTGTCTTTACAAATGCCACACTTGGGTATCACAAGATTCATTGTACATATATGAGGAATAACAGTGCATTGGTAAGTATTCTATAGTACTGTATGGAGGTGTGTAATACTCAAAAAATGCTCCCCAGTGGTATCTTCCATAACTAAACATTGGTACCAAGTCAGTTGTGGATAGCCTAAGTAATTTCGATCTGTATCTGCACCTGTGTCTGGTGTGTGTGTCGCTCAGTCTGCAAAAAATCAATTGACTGGGTGGGATGGGGGTGCCGGTTGTGAAGTGGTTCATCGGTCTGAGTTAACCACCGCGGTGACGCCATATGGCCTCAGCAGCTGAGTGCGTCATATACCCCCAAAGACACGCAGACTGGATGGTACGCCTACTCAAAATCGACTGCACTGAACCTCACTGTCATGTGTGCTGAACTCAGGCTTGCCAAATTTGTCCTGCCATTTCAAGTTGCCTTTTGTGTGCACATGTTTTTGGATCATTTTTGCCAGAAACTGCCTGTGCAACATCATATTTCTCTGAGACACTGGCTCTCTGTGTGCTCATGTTGGTAATTGGTGTCTCACTGACTGCCACGGCCATTTCGAGACTGGGATTACCCTGCCAACCACCTTTGTGCTGTGTAAATGTGAACTATGCACCTGTTTATGTTTGCATAATTACAACATTGATATTCCTGTGAAACTATTGTTGTTTATTACCTTTCCAGCTTATCATGTTATCCATAATTTTGCAGATCATTTGGCACCTTTAACCTCCCTCCTATGACACTATATCAGGGCTATTTCATATATATTCATATATTAGGATCACAGGCATGGGGACAAAGCCAGACTCCTGGCTTTCAACCGAATCCGACGCCAAGACAATGAAATGAGGCTGAAGTCAGTGGTAAAGCCAGTGGCTGTAAAGTTTGGGACTGCGAGTCCTTACAAACTGATCAGTGTAAAATCACGAGATCGACGCGGAAGCCCAGTGCACGACGTTTTGCGAAACCAAATGATTTTCACGTCCGCTAGAACTGCATGAGATAAAACTATATAATCAGGGTGTTTTGCAATGATTGAGACAAGTTGCTAGCATTACAGACAAAACAAAGCATTACATGGCAAAAGGCTTAACCTGACAGCAACTCTTTGAAATACCACTAAGCCAAAGAAGGAGACAGGAATAGAAAGCCTGTTCGAAGGCTTCAAGGGAGGGTCGAGCTCAAAGCCGTTTGCGAAAAAGCTGCAGCTTCGTGAATCCGAAGTCAGCTGTGTTCCCATGCCTGATAAATATGCAGCCAGTTAATACCTTTCCCCGTCCACCGGTTTGCAGTTATGGATGGTACCGTAGTTTGTTCCGTGATTGCCTAGAGCTTTGCCATTATCTGATTTGTTATGCGTTCATCTTCAAATCGCATGTCTCTCATTTACTGGGCAAGTTACATAGATGGAATGTATCGTTCAAAATTATCAATTAAGATGGCAAAACTGCAGTTGGAGACGTAGGAATGTTAATGCAGAATTGAATGCCTTGGAACTTAAGTGTGACATTACTAAGACTCATTGGCTTATCACATGGTGTATCATTTCAGAAGTAATTGAAACAAGTCACACCATTTTGCGTGCTGATGCGTCTCACTTTCCCACGCAGGTGACCAGGACATGATTGAAGTGGACCACCAAGACTGACACTGCCTGTTCATCAATACATATTCCCATAATGGGCTTGATACTATCGCGCTTTCGGGTAAGCCGCATTGAAACTGTGGTCAGTACATCACCTTTTCTCATGGCACTGCATGTGCTTGAAGTAGCGTGAGAAAGCATGAGCCAGCTAGTCAAATGAGGGATTTTGTTTTTTTTTTCAAATTGAATGACAGTGTTTGATGCATGCATATGAGTTAGTGCAATGAACTGAGACAGAAGTAGATGTGTGGGTCATTTGACACACGCGAGAAGACACCCTATGTGAAGTGACCCAAACGCATCGTGGAATGAGAGCGATGCATGACTTTATCCATTTCCGCTGCCGTCCACCATTAAGGTTAAATGTCTGTATTGTAGGATTGGTAATATGATGTGTGGCTCTTGTCTGGAGGAGAACCAGGCCTGTCCGATCAAAGCCGCGCCCGTGCCCCGTGTGACGCCGTTCTTCCCCGGCTGGCGCAGCGCAAGGCGTCGACCATCGAGGTCCTTCAGAAGATCGAGGACGACATGGGCTCCATCGCCGAGAACGAGGCGGCCGTGCGGCGCCGGCAACGCCGCCTGGCGGCCGTGGTCGTAGCCTACTCGGCCCTGCTGTACGTGCTGGCCGGGCTGCTGTTCTACTACCGCTACTTCCCCGACGACGTGCTGACGCGCCTACTGTGCGCCGGCGCGCTGCTGCTCTTCCCGGCCCTGTGAGTCTCGTGTACGGAGCGCCGCCCTCGTCCGGCACCGGACGGGGCTGGAATGTGTGGTGCTAGTTGAAAGGATTCTCAGGCTGTAGTGGCTGCGTTGCCTGAATGCGGTCTTAAAGTTGTCTTCGATTGGTTCAGCTGTATTTTTGAGGGGGCTGAAGATTTTAGTAAGGAAAGATAAATGGCGCTACCTTCGCGCTTAAATATGGTGAAATGTTCGTATCTAAAAAAGTAATTGTTGCTTTACTCAAGGTGTTACTTGGATTTAGCGATTATTAACAGTTCAGGTCTTTTGGATAATATTCTAATTTCCTATCCTATTTGTAGGGTTTACTCTCTTAAGAGATTGATGACATGGTACTACGAAAGAAAGATACGTCAAAATGAAACCAGATTGGCTGCATTGAAGAAAAAGAAAGAACAGATCTTGGAGGAGGTCCAAGACAAGGAGACGTACAAGGTCGCCAAGGAGATCCTGGAGAAGTTTGCTCCTGAGCAGCTGCGCCGATCACCGGTAAGGTATCATGACCGTAGCCGAGCGGGGGGAAGGCATGTCGTTATTGGGACTACACTTCCGAGCTGCTTGACTCGTTGCCCTTTAGTTGTTACGGCCTCATTTCGAACACATTTTGTAGCTGCCGTGCTCGAACACACAACGCACGCCACCGCTGCTGTGTGACTGCAAGCCGAACCTCACGAAAACGATGCGTCTGGAATATTGTCAATCGCACCAAGGCAACCAAGAGCATCACGTTTAGCCGTCCACGCCGCCGTCACAGGGTCACGCACGCTGTAAGGTCGACCAAATTGAAACCACTTTACCACAATACCAGTGGCTCGTGAACAACGGTCTTACCACGACAGCCTTCTGCACTGGGCAGCCAAGTGGTGGCCTGCTGCGCCTATCACATCCCTTTCCTGGCAGTATGCTGCAAAACAAACAGGTCACTGTGTTTCTCACAAAATGCGAGGCGACCAAATGCTTTGTGGAACCGAACTGACAGACGCACCACCACCACGACCGGCGCTACCATCGCCACCACCACCGGCGCAGTCACCGATGCGGCCACCGACGCTGCCACCGACATTGACACTGACGCAGTCACCGACGCAGCGACCGACGCCGGCACCGACGCTGCCACTGACGCAGTCACCGACGCAGCGACCGACCCTGGCACCGATGCTGCCAACGACGCTGCCACCGACGCAGCGACCGGCCTCGGCACCGGCGCTGCCACCGACCCTGGCACCGACGCTGCCATCGCCGCTGCCACCGACGCTGCCATCGACGCTGTCACCGACGCCGCTACCGACGCTGCCACGGACGCTGCCATCGACGCTGCCATCGACGCTAGCACTGACGCTGCCACCGACGCTGCCACGGACGCTGCCACGGACGCTGCCATCGACGCTGGCACTGACGCAGCCATCGACGCAGTCACCGACGCTGCCACCGACGCTGGCACTGACGCTGGCGTCACCGACGCAGCGGTCGACCTTGGCACGGACGCTACCACCGACGCTGCCATCGACGCTACCACCGATGCTGCCACCGGCGCTGGCGCTGACGCCGCGACCGACGCAGCGACCGACCTTGGCACTGACGCTGCCATCGACGCTGCCACCGATGCTGCCATCGACGCAGCCACCGACGCCACCGTTATCGAGGCCGCCACCGGTGCCACGGCCGTCGAGACCACCGACGACGTCGTCGCATCGACGCCTTCCTCACGGGACGCCCCAGGCTGCTGTTCCGCCACCGCTTCTTCAGCCATATCAGTCAGAGCTGACCTGACGATCGCGGGCCCCCGGTGCGCCGGCTCCTCTTCCACGTTCATGCCTTCAGGTAGCTCAGCCGCAGCTGACTCTTCCAGTGCCGTACTCTCAGCTGCTGTCTTGGTAGGTTTGTCCGCGATTGCCTCCTGTGTCCGATCACCGGCAGACACGGCGTGATTGGGCGATGATAGTTAGCCCCGGCTCACGCCTGCTCGCCGCAGTCGAGCTCTTGCCCCCGCCCCCCCCCCCCCCCCTCATCCGTCCTCATTTCGGTATTTGCATTGACAGAAGGAGGATATGCTAGCAAGGGGCACGTTCTTTAGACAAGTACCATGCGCTGCTGCCCCCTTCCTTTTCGGACCCTTTAGTCGAGGGGGCGTGACTTGACCACTTAAAGAAGACCCTCAAACTTGGACCTCAGTACACCGTTTACGTCTTTTCGTCATGTGAAGTTTTGCACCAGACCACGTCTCCTTTCCTGGAGGTGCCCTGATTGTGGTCCGTCCGGATCGCTTGCTAACAGCGCTGGTATGATTCCACGACACATCGCTTGCGGCAGGCATGTTGCCATCTGCCCTGGCGTCTGGCACCTCGGCAGGAAGACTCCTATTAGCTTGATGAAGATGCCGGTGATGACCAGGATACGTTGGTATCCATCTTCTGTTCAGGGAGCTCAGTCACATCAGCAGCTCACTGTCGTCAGTGGGGCCTTACGCCGCGCTCAGCTGCTGGAGCTGTATTGTGCTGCCTGTCTCCCACCTCGGCAGGAAGGGCGGGCACCGAACTCTACCTACGTACCTCTGGTTTCTCATTTGTGCAGTTTAATCACTGCACGATCGGTACCCCAAGCGAGTCATGGCCGCGCCCGTGGCCTTGAACACAACATGAAATGTCGGGTTTGAACAATATGACCACTGCTTGTTTAATCAAACGTTTAACCAGCACCTCCCGTATTTTAAGCGGGTTTTAGAGGGGTTTTGTGGTATTATTGGACCTTTGTTATCCAAACATGTCTGGTGTCAGGTCTCTGTTCTTTTTCAACATCTGTTTGCAAACAGTCCCAGAATATTCTCTGTGGAACCAGAAGTATCGCATTTACTTTGCAGCGGGCGCCGTTTCAGTGCGTGTTTTGGGTTGCCGCCATGCTATGTACATAAGCCCGGTCGCGATCGGTCGGCCGCCGTACAGCCCCTGACTGGTACTGTGCGTCTGCCCTCCCCCCCCCCCCCCCCCCCCTCCGCCCAGCACAGCCCCTGACTGGTGCGCTGCGTGTGCCCGCAGCTGCGCCCGGCCAGCACGCCTCTTGTGCCGCGGGGCGGTGACGCAGGTGAGAGGCGCCAATACCGCCGCCACGCCCACCCCTCCTAGCTGACTGCCCGGTCACCGGGGCCGCGGTCAGTGAGTGACGTGACAGACGTGTCACCGAGTGTCGCGCAAATTGTGCCTCTGTCGAAGCTTGATGTTACAGCGTATCACCTCTCTGACGTCCAAGTGCGTGCGTGCGTGCGTACGTGCATGTGGGTGTGGGTGTGGGTGTGGGTGTGAGTGTGGGTGGGTGTTTTTTTATGTATATACATGATGTATGTGTAATATGCATACATACATACATAAAACATGCATGTATACATACATTAATATCACATCTGATTCGGGGTGGGGCGTGTTCCGGCAGGAGGCGCCCGGCAGCGGCAGCTGGCTACATTGACGGCCCCCCGGGGCCCGCTCACCTCAACCCCGTTGGGCGCGGCCGGCCGCGGTGCGCCCCAACCCGGTCAGTGTCGCTGGCCTCGGTGGCGGCTGTGGGGCGTCGAGGAGGAGTGGTCGGCGGCGGCCCGGTCCTTGCTGTGTGACTGGGGGCTGGGTTCCCGGCGCGCCATCACTGGACACGTGACGTTGCGAGGTCGCGCGCTTGTCACATTCGCTCACAGTCGTGCACAGGCACATCTGCTTGCAGCTGTACATAAGACTCGTAGTTCGCACCTCCGGACGTTGACAGCTGAGCAAATGTCGCCTGCCATTGATCGCGTGACAAACCTGAACGCGTGCTGTGGGAGCATCTCTTTCGAGATATTACGGTTACGGGTGTCAGCACTGGAGCTGCCACAGCTTTACCACTGGCGACCTTGACCTCATGGATCTGAAGATCGCGGACAGATTTGCAAGCACACCAGTTATCACCAGATGTTGGAAAGATTGTTTCGTATATTCATATGAACTAGCAATCACCAGGGGTCGTGACTGCTGATGATGCTCGGGGCCCTGGCGGCACGACCTCTCTCATGGGCCCTTCTCGGCGCTCCCTGCGGTGTTCGGGGCGGCGTGAGCGCGCGGTGCTGTCGCTCTGTGTGACGGTGACCCTGTGCCGCGCCAGGCATCGGCGCCGGCCGGTACTCGGGCCCGATGGCGCCGTCTCCGCTCGTGCCGGCCGGCCGCGGCCTGCCGCCCGTCGGTGAGTACTCATCCTGCGTCTGCTGCCCAGCCGTCGCCGGCAATGGTCCACAGCTGTCGCGGGCCGGCTCTTGTGCAGGGGTGACTGCCGAATTTCACATGGGTTTCACTTGCTCAACTCGCCAGGGTGGTGACCTCAAAGTTGTGCCTGTTGGTCATCGCCCAGTCATTTTGCAAAGTGTGGTGGATAGGTGCAGGGGCATGGGTGTACCTAACTCAGGTTGGTGGCAAGGGGAGGGGGTCACTTCCTGAAGTCAGTTGCGGGGGGGGGGGCTGAGCCAATTAAGTTGACCTAACCAGTTCCCAAATCCTGACATCTCCCCGGATTTTGGCCACTTGAATTTGTGTCCTGATGCCAAAATGAAATTTAAAGAAACAGTTGGATTCAAATGCTGTTTTGATCTTGAAGAATGCCATCCCATTTGAAGCTGACGTGGTTATGATGATGTTAATACATGATGATAATAATATAAATTATGGTGTGATGAGATACCGAGTGCAGCAGCAGTCCAGAGCTTACATAGTTCGCCGTCATTAGCATACAAAGTGACCCCCCTGGTTGGCGGTGCCCGGGCCACGAACCCCAGTAACTTTTGGGTTGATAAGTTTTTTTTGCGTTTAGAGCACATAATGAGTGTCACATAATTATGTGCACATAAATAGTGCACATAATTACACATGAGTGTAATGCACATCGATCATGGCCGAAGGCGTTCCTATTCGTAATATGGTATAAGTACACGATGTGACGTGTGTGGAGGCAGTTCCTCTGGTAGCTCAGTTGGTAGAGCGGTGGACTGTAGTGGTTACGGGCGGACATCCATAGGTCGCTGGTTCAAATCCGGCCCGGAGGACTTTTTCGGTTTGTGGCGTTTTTCGTCTCCTTTGCGCATTCGTGTCGTTGAAATCCGCCCTGTAGAATTTTTGTAATTCGCGACCTTTCGGTGGTTATTTCGTTTCGTAAGTGGAATGGTTTTATTGTATCTGTAAGTGGTAGCAAAATTGGAGAGCCATTTTCGGCAAAATTCGGCGTGGATCTAACTTCTACGAGGCGTTTGCCCAGGCTCTGTCTCATCCAAGGTACATTACCATGACTAGCGGGACCTGCTCATTTTCTGTCAAGTCGAACATGATGTATGAATGGGTTCTAAAATTGTGTTGCAATGCTTGCAAGGATGTTATATAAATATTACGATTTAACCCCGTACGTCATTAGAGGAACCACTTCCTTTGTACTGAAAGTTACGGCATCGCGGCCTGTCATCTTGCTTGATAACACCTGAAGGGACGCACCGAAAAAATGTTTCGGTCGCAATAGATAACAAGATGCCACATAATGCGATACCTTTCTTGATGACACGTTTCTTTTCACGCGGTCATAAATCTGTACAGCTTTAACCCTATCATGTGTCTGTGAGAAACGGACAGGGGGAAAAGGAACGGTCGGGTCAGTTCCTTTGTGAGTTTCCTTACAGTGGCGTAGCCAAGAGGAGCTTTTTGGTCAATGCGAGGTAATTTTGTTAAAACCATGCTTAATAAACAAGTAAAACATGATTTTTAAACATTTTTGTGAAAATCAGTGGACCGCAATCCTCATTATCGTCTCCAGCTTACCACGAAGGCTGCCAGATTGGCGGAGTATTCGCGTAAAAAAACAGCATCGTCAGCACTCATGATGAGGTGAGATCAATGAATACAAGAAGCCAGGTCATCAGTGCACGGTGACAGCGTCATTGACCTTCGCCCCGGTTGGCGCGCAGGGCCGCGCGCTGGGCCGCCGCTGCCGCGGCCGGTGTTGCCCCGCGAGCGCGGCTACATGGACCGCATGATCGACTATCTGGTGGGCGACGGCCCGGCCAACCGGTACGCGCTCATCTGCCACCAGTGCCAGAGCCACAACGGCATGGCGCTTAAGGAGGAGTTCGAGTACCTGGGTGAGTGCCGGCCGGAGCGTCCTCCGTGGGCGTCACGCTCGCGCTGCCAGCTGGGGCCGATGTTGCGGCTCGGCCAGCGGCGAAGTTTCGTATGGTGTATTGGGGAGGGGGTCTAAGCCGTGAAATAAGATGAAACGTTCTCCAAAAATTCACTAACCGGATTTCTCCCCGGATTTGACCCACTTTTCTCTCAAAGTTTGGGTGAGGCTGGAGGGCGGGGGGTTTCTTACTTAAATTGTGGTTGAAATGTTCCAGTTCACTTCGATATTTATGAGGATTGGTAACTAATTATTTAAGAAAAATGAGTAGAACCACACCATATTGTCAGCACTAATCTGCTGAAACCTGCCGTGGCGCAAAGTAAGGACATAACAATTGTCCATTTCTAATGTGGGTTCAGGGAAGGGCTCTACAATGCCTTGGGATGAAATACGTAAAATGGCACCCATGTTTCATACACTGCCGTTACAACGCACTTCGTCATTTTTAACTCTGTCTTGCGTCCCATTCGTCGTTTATTCCGGACGGTGGCGTCGCAGTGCTTCTATCCCTCTGTTAGGGCTACGGGGCCGCGTTACCAGGGCATCTTTGAGGGGATGTAGAGGACGAGCATGTCCCTTATCAAGTGTATTGCATGCATTCAGTCACGGGCAGATCCAGGGAGGGCCACGGCTCCTGTACTTTTGGACCTGCGTAGATGTCCAAAGGTAGAAGAATGGTGGGGCCGGCAAAATTGGTCAACCCCAGGAACTTTCACGATCACAACGGCTTGAGTGTGGTCCAGACGCAGGGGGATGACCACTTATGGCGATCCAGTATGCGTAGTGCTTCGACTTATATCCGTGCAGATGGCGAAATGTGGGGAAGGGGCGCCACCGTGCCTTTTGGGGTCTCACGTCCCATTGCGAGATCCTGGAAGCGTTAATGCCCCCCCCCCCCTCCCCCGTTCCCCCCGTCCCTGGTAACAACAGCCAGGGTCGGACCCTCCATTTAATATACTTTTGAGGAAATTTTTAATTGATATAGCTGGATAGGGGTGGGGCTTTCATATTGAAGTGATGTATCTTACCAGTGGTTGAACGAAGTGAGCTCCTCGAAAAAATATATTGGGTTCAGTTACGTACGTCGAAGATCGCTCCTTCTACTACTAACCCACGTGGTAACTATCGGCAGCCGCTAGCTCCGTACGCTGCATTGTTTCCGTAAAATCCATTCTGGCCTTGACGAGACCCCAGCGGAAGGGGGAGGGGCAATACAACTTACGAAGGAAGCTGGAAGACGACCGCGACTGAAGCCATGACGTTTTAGCACCGTGAGCCTAAGGAACAACGTTGTCGATAGTTTCTTTGTTTCTCATTCAATGACGCCAAAATGTGACCGCTGGCAACTGTAATTTTCATCTTTTTCGAGAGCACAAAACTTATTTTGGAATATTGTTTTTTAGGCTACACTCGTTCAAGGGACCATCATGTACATGGTGTGCCGTTATCATGGGCCGGCAGGTCCGTGGCGGGTGGGATCGCCGGTGGCAGTCGGGCAGAGCCGGCGCTGACCGGGCGCGCCGGGCGCTGTGTTTCAGCGTTCCGCTGCAGCTACTGCTTCGCCTGGAACCCGGCGCGCAAGCAGCGTCCGTCGGCGCCGCGTCTGCCGGCGGCGCCCACCTCCGGCGAAAGCATGGTCGAGTCGGACACCACAGGTGGGCCGACACCGCTCCGGCTGCGCCGTGGCGCTAACGCGGCTTGCCCTGGCCGACGCCAGCGCGAGTCAAATACATGCAGTTAATGTTTGTCGACTATTTCCTGTAGAACGTCCACTTGATTATTTCTATACCAACTTCGTCGCTTTCGTACCAAATTCGTTAGTTTTATACCACATTCGTCGCTATGTCAGGATTGCCACATATCAGGATCTCTGTGCCATAATTGGCTATTCTTCTGTCCGAAATGTACTGGCAATAGGCCAGTGTAACCCGCGTGATATGTCGCGCCTGTGTCCTTCGCCGTCATAAAGATTGTGCGGTGTGGCCTTCAGAGACGAGTGAGAGCGAGACAGAGCCGGACGTGCCGAGCCGGCCGCGGTCGGCGTCCGGGCCGGAGCCGGCCGGCCCCGCAGCCGACCCTGCCGCGACCGATGCGGCCCAGCCCAGCGCTGGGGTTTCCGAGCCGACCAGCATCGCTTCAGCCCAGCCTAGCGCTGGACCCACCGAGCCGACCAGCACCGCTACAGCCCAGCCCAGCGCCGGCCCCGCCGAGCCGACCAGCACTGCTACAGCCCAGCCCAGCGTCGGGCCCGCCGAGCCGACCAGCACTGCTACAGCCCAGCCCAGCGCCGGGCCCGCCGAGCCGGCGAGCGCGGACAGTGACCGGCTGGGGTCGAGTTCGGCGGGGGGCGAGGCCGACCCGAGGCCGCCGTCTGACGAAGAGCTGGCACCAGAGGCGCGGGCAGACCCACCGCCGCCCGGCGAGGAGCAGAGCGGTCTGCCGTCTAGTCCAGCGGCAGACGATCAAACGCAAGGTATGGGGCGTGCAAAGCAACTTGCAATAGGTGTGTGCCGTGTTCGACGCTAAGATTGCCTTAGCTGACATTCCGCTCCTGTGCTTAGACCGTTACCTCCGTGGCCGGAGGCTGACCAGCTCGATTCCGCCTGTTGCGATTTGCTGTGATCAGTGAAGGCGGTCGGTCGCGCGATGCCATCATATGTCGGCTGTTGTGTGCGGCGCCGCTCCGCCACGCCTATCTGACCTGTGACCGCTGACCCGAGCTGACCGCCGGCAGAGCGGCGGACTCCTCCGGCGGCCTCCGTCGACACACCGCCGCTGTCACTGGCGGGCGCCGAGCACGTGCCGTTCGCCGACGATAGCGGCGCCGAGACGTGATGCCGCCGGCCGACCGGGCCGGCCGGCTGCCCACTCAGGCGGGGTCGGGGGCGCGCCGCGGCGCCAGGCCTCAGGTGTAACGTCGGAGCCGTCTTGCCAGCGTGTTGTGCCTTAGTGGCGGCGGAGCGCGGCGCGAGTCCGCACCGTGAGAGCGGCGCTGGACGGCATCGTCGCGTCGCGATGGCTGTGTAGAAGCCATGACGGGTCGGAGAAGCTCCGGTTCGTCCTGTGCGTCGGACGGCTCGCCGCGCCGTAGCTCCCCTTTGATGTGCGAGCCCAGGTCAAGGCGTGTCGTGCCCCGCCCCCTCTGCGATGCGGGTCGTGAGAGCTCATTAACAAGCGTCCGCTCGGTGGTTGAAATCTCAGCGGTGCTCATCTTCCTCGAGGCGTCGTGTGAAACGTATGTCGCCTGCTTGTGGCGGACGGGTATGCGGTGTAATAACGGTTTGGAATGGAATAAAAGAGTTGTATTAATATGTATCCCATCGGCTTTCATCCGGTGTCTGCTCTTTGACTTTGCGTACTAGTTATCCAGCGGTGTAATTTTGCAGCAGCCGGTCGAGTGCTGAGCTGAGATCGATTAGCCTGGGGCTTCCTCAAGTGCTAGACTCCTTGAATTGTGCTTTTTGGGAAAATTTATGTGCATGAACATGTTTGTTTTGACATTTCAATTAGAAAATAAACAGCTTCATGTTTTTTTGGTTATATTGATAGCTCCCTGTGGTTTTTGCTGCTGTCAGTTTTATTTCGTATACTTTTGGGCCCTGTGTCGCCAATGTTTTGTAAACTCATGGAGATGCGTGAACAATTCAGGAGAAAAAAAAATTGAAACAAAAAGCCCAAAGTCAATGTTCGCGGAGCCCGCGATTGTTGGTGAGTTTCGCCACTGGTTGCATGGGCTTCATTAAATTTCTATCACCGTTATGTTTTAGTTGGAAACACCGCTGCCGAGGCTCGGGAGCTCGAATACCACTAGCTGCGGATTGAGGGATCGAGTCACCTCAATTCATTGCGAGTCCACGCCCCTCGCCCCGTGCGGATGAACGGACTGCAGAACAGCTATGCATGTCGTAGCGAATGCTCTCGGTGTAAATAGAACCCAATTAAAATTGTCCACCTGTTCTAGAAGCAGATTATAAGCGTACTCCACATTCAGGATTCTCGGGCATGTAACTCCATAGTATCAAAGCCGCCGAATGGTATCTGCCAAGCCATAGGCCCGCAAATCAGGCGCACGAATTTTAGCCATTGTTTTCTGGCGCTCGATATTGTCAACGACGCCCGTACCGTGTGTAAGACTATCCTTCGCCGGAAGTGCACTTACACCTTTAATGTGGGGTTTCTTTAAACGCGTAGGCAAATAGCCACCGACCTGCAGCCAATGCGTAGTTTTTTTGGGACCGTGCCCTTCCGTCTCGCAGAGCTCCCGGGACTAAAGGCCTCGTAATGTTCGACAATTTAAGGCGTCCGTAGTACTTTTTAAATACAGTTAGACGCCCCGGGGACTGAAAATACTGTCCCGAACCATACGAGGTCCCCGCAATCTGCAATTCTGGCTATGCAGCCGCAAATAACATGGGCTAGGGCTCGTGGGTGTGCGTCGATTCGTGAAAGCTCATGAGGGTGTGATGCACGCGAGTTAGATTTAGTCAGCTGTCAATTTGGTTGCTCCCTGAACCGCTTTATCGGCAACCTTGTCGGAGGCCAAAACGCCCCCTTGCTTGATATGTGTCCGTTACATACCCCCATTTAGTAGGCGTTTCCCTGCTGTCTGGATTCGTGGGTGGCTAGGGATCTGCGACTGGCGTCAAAGATGAGCAAGCATTACAGATAATTAAAGGACAGAGTGACGCGACCGCGAAATATGTAAGTGCATATGCTAGCTTTGAAAAGGCGTTGATGGGGGTTACGGAGTTTGAATGTTTGGCTGGGGTAGTTCAGTAAGTAGGTACCTACCTACCTTTACATCCAAGTACCCACTCAGCAGCCCCATCCTAACTTGCTGCAGCCTTAATGGGACTTGTTCTGGGGAGAGATAGTGTGGGCATGATATGTGAAGCAGATGCCAGCTGTGAATGTCATGTGGCACCAGTTTACCTGCCCCACATATACCTGATTTTCATCATACTATTTCTCTGGGAAATTAGATCACTTCAAAGGAATTGGAACAAGTAGGCATGGTCACAATTTAATTTTGCATGTCATGAATCTAGTCTGTTGTTTTACAAATATTACTGATGCCCCATCCCAGGACATTTTTGGCTCATTTGCATGAACATGCCCACACTACTCAGTAGTGGTTTCATTTTTGGCAGCCTGGTTGGTCAGCCATGATCATAGGCTTTTTGTTAGGATGCCTGCCATAGAGGGGCAGGCATTTCGTGAAATGATTGATGGGACTCAACAGCAAAAACTAACCCAACGTGCCCCCAAATATGCTAACAAACAGTTGTCTCCTGGATTTTTCCCACTTTGTTGCCAAATTTTGAAGATTGAAGCCCAAGCCTGGGGGGTTGGGCCGAGCCCACCCCCTCCCCTAATTGAATAAGAAGCTACCTCCCTGTTGCCATAGGATGCATGTGTGCTGTTGCCTAGCAAAATTTCTCTGGGTGAGTAGGGCGGAGGCCAGTGCAAAGAATTCATCTGCTGCCAGCATCTACACATCATCAATATGCTGAATGTAATACTCACCATGTGAACTGAATTTGGAATAGTCTGAATTTGGTATAAATAAGGTTTCTCAGAGTATGTATAAGAAATTACTTTGCTCTACATCATAATTCTGTGAGATATTAGCTCCTCATCCCAAAATTGGTCGTGGTGATGCACCATGCTCATGACTGCTCAGATTTGTGTCAGTTATATGCTGAGATTGCTGCAGCAATTGTAGCATCTACACCTCCATGTATTTTACTATTTGTGTCAGGGGACTGCTTTATTAACCAAGGGTGTTCACCTGGTTTGGGTCAGGGATGAAGTGCCCTGGCAGTTCCAGAGTTTTTTGTTCAGCTATCTCTGCCCAAGCTGTCCTATCAAAAATAGTAGTGAAAGTGAAAGAAATATTTCAAATATGGGATGGGATAGGAGAAGATCATGTGATTTCAGAACAGCCCAAATCAGCTTGCTATCTGTAAATTTGGTGGTGTACCTGTGTATACTGCCACTGTTCAAACTGTGCTTGATAGCAGCTGCCATCTGTGTATTTCTGAGATGCCCAAGACTCATATTCTCTGCTGGGTTTACACATTGGACATGCTGCTGGATGTATCCAACTCGCTGTTGCAGAAGATTCAATATATATTGGTGAAACATAAACACAATATGTACTGGTGAAATTAAATGACCAAAGAGTGTGCTGGAAACCAGTATAGTAGTTGTTTATCAGATATTGTTGAACATTTATTGGGTAGGTCATCAACTGACAATAAGTAGCAACTCAGTAGGAGGTTAAGGCTGGATGTCAAATGGAACTCGGCATCCTTGTAGAAACACCAAGAAGTATTGCACAGTCTTCTTGCCTTAAGCAGTGCAATTATTTTGTTTATTATCATGTAATTGCAATTTATTCCAGTGGAAGATTGCTTCATCTTTCACTTTTGTCCACTGTTGATTTTGATTCACATTTAATACAAGGAGCACCTTAAATAAAAGTAGATTTTTTTGTTTTTCAAGCATGGATTTTGTCTGCCTTTTCTTATTTTTCATGACACACAATGGTCCAAACTGTGACTTTGATGCAAAATCACCCTGGGAGTGTCAGAACATGTAAATGGTGTATGGCCCAAAACCAGGGTCAGAATACTGACCCCGTGCTCATGCCACCATGTCCTGTTTTATGCTGTGGAACGAACTGCTCGTCCTGTTACATCGAGTCGCTCTGCGACGGCTTGGACAGTACGGACGGCACGGACGCGACTGGGATCTCGCGGTAGAGCGAACTGGCCGGCTTCTGCGGTAGCTGCACGATCGGTCGGTTCGTCATTTCGAGCAGCACGTCCAGGAAGCCGTGACGCCGCAGGAACTGGCCGTAGCGCTGGCTGCTGGGTGCCGGCTGGCCGCTGGGCCACGCGCACTGCAGGTACAGCGCGCGCGTCATGCGGCCAGGCGGCGGCCGCTCGTACGTCTGCTCGTACAGCACGTAGTCGTCGACGGAGAGCAGCTCGCGCACGGAGCCGGTGATGGTGAGGATGTGCTCCCAGTCGGTGATGCCCATGCGCGGCAGGTTGGACGCCGTCAGCAGGCAAAGTCGGCGGCCGCAGATGTTGTTGTTGAGCAGGGCGTCCACGTACTGCGACAGGCCGAGCCGGCCAAGCCAGCCGCGAATCTCGCACGGACCCCAGCCTAGGCAGCGCGGCAGGCGTACGTCAGGCACGTCCATGGCGACCAGGTCGTCCACCGTCTTGCGGTGCCAGTCGCCCGAGCAGGGTGCGTCCCGCGCCGGCGGTGGCGGCGGCGCCGGCGCCGGGGCCGGGGCCGGCGTCTCCGGTGGCGGCTCCGGCAACCCGGGCTCGCTATATACGGGCGTCTCCGAGTACGGCCGGAACGCTGGACTGTCGCTGGGGCCTGGCACGGTCACTGTGACATCGCCCGTGGCACCCTCATTCGCTCCGCCCTCGCCCTCGCCCCCGTCCGCATCCGCGTCGCCCGGCGCGCCCGGCACGACGATGCTGAACGCGTCGTCGAGCTCGGCCGGCGCCGGGCTCGCACTCGGCTCGGGCACAGGCAGTTCGAGCGTCGGCCCTGTCATCGGGGCGACGGGCGGCACGGCGTAGCTCTCTTCTGCCGCATCGGTCGGTTCCTCCGCCGCCGGCGTGGCTTGGTCGGGCTCTGCCGCTGGCGTGTCCGGCTTAGGCTCTGCCGCTGGCGTGTCCGACTTGGGCTCTGCCGCCGACGTGTCTTGCTCGGGCTCTGCTGCTGGCGTGTCCTGCTCGGGCTCTGCCGCCGGCGTGTCCGGCTCTTGCTCCGCCGCCGGCGTGTCCTGCTCGGGCTCTGCCGCTGGCGTGCCCTGCTCAGGCTCCGCCGCCGGCGCGTCCGGTTCTTGCTCCGCCGCCGGCGTGTCCTGCTCGGGCTCTACCGCCGGCGTGTCGGGCTCGGGCTCCGCTGCCAGTGTGTTCTGCTCGGGCTCTGCCGCTGGCGTGTCCTGCTCGGGCTCCATATCGGGCGCTACTGGATCTGGGGCGGACTCACCACCACTGTGCGATTCAGCCGCGGTAGCGGCGTCGTCGGTAGGCTGGTCACCGTCCTGCGGGCGATCGACAGCGGCGGCGTCTGGAGGCGGCTCCGACTCCTCCTCGTCTCCAGGTGGCTGTGTCACTGCCGAGTCCTGGAGCCGCATGGGTCCTGCGTCATCCTCGATCGACTTTGAATCTGCCGCGTCCTGCGCAAGCTGCGGTGTTGCGTCCTCTTCGACTGTCTCGGGGTCAGCTGGGCTTTCGCTTGGCTCGGGGTCTGCCACTCCGTGCTCAATCGGCTCAGAGTGCTCAACCCCGGGTGGCTCGGACACCTTTTGGTCGCCATTCTCCCGGAGTTCTGTCTCGTCCTGGCCGTTGCTCGGGGCATCGGGATCTTGCTCAGGCTCGGTATTGGCGTCACATTGCGACTGCTGGGCTACCGGCTCTTTTACGGAGGCGTTCGAGCTGGAGTTTGTCGCGGTGTTGGTGTCGGGCTCCCCCGCGCCGGTGTCCTCGGCGGGCTCCTCTCCGCCCATTGTGCTTGCGGCAGAGCGACTATGCAGACCGCGAATGGTGACGTCACATGGCCATGTACGGTCAGACGGGTGGTTCCTGACTGTTTAAATGAGTCATCGTTTTGTTTACACTGTCGCTGCTTGGGGGGAGCAGATTTCGGTGCGTTCTTGGAGCGGCCTTAAACCACGCTGCTCGGCTCGGACTGTGAGGAAGTACGCGGCCAAAGAGGGCTTAGATCAACTTGGAGACTGTTGGTTTCGCGCAGTTGGCGCAGTTCATTGCTGTATGTTTTCCAGTATTTTTTCTTGGGTTTCCAAAGTTTTTAGCGTGGCGTTTCATTTGTTACACCTTTGCTTTCGGTAAACTGTGTGCGGATGACAAGTCATCACATAGCTGGTGTGCATGCAAGATAATACTGACACAAATGTAGATTTTGGTTCAAAGTCTCAGTGCCTGTGACAAATATCGCGAGCGTGACGGGAACGGAGTCTGGGGTACCGGCTGCTTGATCACCCGTCTGACCAGTTCCGTGGGCGCGCTGTTTCAGGTTCTGTGGTATTCATGCGGCATGAGCACCGAGCGGCTGCAGCAGCGTGAGCCGGCGGGCGGGGGCGGCTGGCTGTCGCCGCCAGACGGCCCGGGCCGCGCCATCGTGACTCACGCTGACGTCACGTGCGCCCACTTTCAGACCGGACTTCCGCCGCGCGGCGCAAAGATGGGCAAGTTCTTGTCGAAGATATTCGGCAACAAGGAGATCCGGATTCTGATGCTGGGCCTGGACGCCGCGGGCAAGACCAGTATCCTTTTGGGCTGCACGCGGCCGTCTGCGTCACCAGCTGTTGGCGACATCGTCCGAGAGCTTATCGTGTGTAGTGCTGAATTGCAAAAGTAAAGACATTGTCGATTTATCTCTGTTGCAAGAGCCTGTCTTAGTGCTATCCAGCGCGCGCGCGGCTTGTGCAAGTGCTATCCAGCCGTTCAAGCGTTCCATTCCCTGCGGATGTTGGGGCACATTTTAGCGAATGTTTGTGCAGGACATCGAGATAAATCTTCATCGAGGTATGCTGTTGCCGTGGGCACCGCTACGTGTTTGGATATGCCATGCACGTGTATGCCATCATATCTTCCTTGACCGCCCCTGCAGCTATTTTATACAAGCTGAAACTAGGTCAATCCGTCACAACGATACCAACAGTGGGATTCAACGTAGAAACTGTATCGTACAAAAATGTTAAATTCAATGTATGGGTACGTATGTTCGTTGTCTTATGTGCGCTTAAGCATCTTAAGCATTTATAGTCAGAAAGATGGTCGGTGTTTCATGGAATGTGTTCAGAAGAGGTGGTCATTATTTTGTGGAATTAAACCCTCAGTTCAACAGTTCGACCTCTTGTTCAACGTTGCTTGCGCTGTATTTCCAACACGGTTTGTGCGTTTGTGTATTGATTTCCGTCGAGCTCATGAAATTATTTGCGTCAGCTATTCCATTAGTAAAAATCACCGTCACTGATTCACTGCTTAGAACCGATCTCGCGACCCGGAGAGCTGTATTGTGAGCCGCCACGGCTCGGTCGGAAGTGACAGTGCTGCTGTGTTCTAGGCGTAGCGCTTTGCCTTAAGGAAAAGATGCCATCGTCTCTGTGCGCCGTGCCCCGTATCGTCTCTGTGCGCCGTGTGCTCTCTGGCTCTGGCTGTGTGTGTGGAGTCAATCTTGTTCGGGGCTGCTCTGAGGCTCCGTGGGCTGGCTCGGGCCTCACCCCGTGGCGGCGCCCGTCGGCAGGACGTGGGCGGTCAGGACAAGATCCGGCCGCTCTGGCGACACTACTACACCGGCACGCAGGGCCTCATCTTCGTGGTGGACTGCGCCGACCGCGACCGCATCGACGAGGCCAAGCAGGAGCTGCATCGCATCATCAACGACAGAGAGATGCGCGACGCCATCATCCTGGTATTCGCCAACAAACAGGACTTGCCCGACGGTGAGTGGCGGCCGGGGGCGAGGGCGGAGCCGGAGCGGGAACAGTGGCGGGGACGGGGGTGGAGCGGGAGCAGTGGTGGGGGTGGGGGCCGGGGCGGAGTCGGGGCGGGAGTGTGGTAGCGGGGATGTGGAGGGCGAGAGGGGTATGACGCCTGTGAGGAGGGAGGAGCTTGGTGTGCCGCGGCCGACCCGAACTGACCGCGGATCATAGGTACAGTGTTCACTGCTGGGTCAGTGTCGAATCGTTTTCGTCGTGGCTCTGGTATGGATGTGACGGAGTATCATGTGGCGTCATCCAGCATTGATCCACGTGTGTGTCACCCGTCTGACCACCCTGTCTGGTCCGGTCCGTGGCACCAGCCTCCGTGCCGCGTGCGCCAACCGTCGCGCGTGCTGCCGCCTGCGTGACTCGGTCCCCTCACCGGCAGCGATGAAGCCGCACGAGATCCAGGAGAAGCTGGGTCTCACGCGCATCAACGACCGCAACTGGTACGTGCAGCCGGCGTGCGCCACCACCGGCGACGGCCTGTTCGAGGGCCTCATGTGGCTGACGTCGAACCACAAGTCGTGAGGTCCGGCCGGGCGGCGCCGCCGGCTCGCCGCTGCTGCTAGTCCCGCCGCCGCCGCCGCCGCCGCCGCCGACCTGTTGTTATTCCTGTTGCCGGCCGGCCGACGGCCGACGGTGGACGGTGCCGGCGCCGCCTGACGCCATTCCAGCGGGCAGCCGACCGCCGGCGGGGTCCGGCGGCGCCGCGGCGGGTGGACTGAGCCGCGCCGCTTCATATCAGGCCCTCTCTGTGGGCGGCGAGCGGGTGGGCCCGTCCGGAGAGCGCCGCTCCACCAGCCGGACGCTAGATGCCATTTGGACCCGGATAAATCACTATATTATTTAAAGTAGCCGATAGCTTGGTGCGGTGTCCCGCGGCGTCGGGGCGCGCTGGCGATCGCACGCGATGCGATCGACGAGGTCGAGGGGCCGTGCTGTTGTGAGCGCTGGACGAACGCAGTGCTGCGCATGCGCCGGTGAGGATCGTCCAGCGCGGAGCGGCGTCCAGTACGCCGCGCGCTCGAGGCGTGCGTCTGGCGTGTCTGCCTCGCGGTGCGCTGGTGAGGACGCGATGTGCCTCGCGGTCGCCCGCCTCGGAACGCTCGTCGGCCGCCGCGGTTACGAGGGTCTTCCGATCGCGATATTAACGAGCGCCCTTCTGCTGACCTTCTGCTGAGCCAATGGACGCGGGCTGGGGCCGGGAGAACGTCTGGAAACGTCGCGATGCGTTGTAAGCATGTGTACCTTGTCGACCGATCCCCGCTCATTCAGTGACGAGTTCTCATGAATAAAATGCTTGATACACTATGTGTTCGCGGTCTTTGGCATAGCCACGTAGCCCGAAAGTGACACAAGCTTGCGGCGCACGTGCCGCGCCCGGAGGGAGGGACTAAATAACCGACATATTAATTAAGCAGACACGCTCGTTCTCCGAAACCTCTGATCAGATCACTTTAAAGTCTTCAATGGATTCAGCGTGGTGAGGTGAGCAGTGGGGTGGCAATATCGTGACCTAACTCAGGGGGCTACGCTCGACAAACGCGGGGGAAACTTAACAGTCAAACCAAACAGCTCAGATTTCGGAACGCACTGTTACCATGCAGCTGGTCGTGACCTTGGGTCGGTGCGGACGCAGTCCTCCGGTGCTCCTCCGACCGGCGTATGACCGACGTGACCTGGACAGCTCGCTGGGCAGGGCGGTTTTTAGTGAAAATTTGTGAGTATGGTGTAAGTGATCAGCACGACTGCTGTGGACCAGAGCACCGCGGAGAGTGCATCGCAGGCGGTTTCCATTGCGACGGATGAGATGCCGTCAAGACCGAAACAGAGGCGGCAAAGTCGGCACCCTCTGCGATCCAAAGTTTAGAGGATCAAACGGAAAAGGAAAGGCACCACATCCAGCGGCAATTGCTTTACTCCGCCCCAGATTATGAACGGTGGTATTGCAATCTTTATGGGAGGTAATCGAAGGGACTATACAAAAAAGTACATACAGACAAACGTGGAAGCAGCAGTTGACGCCAAGAGCAAAAAGCTCTCCCAAGTCGATGAGAAAACTGATTACCTGGAATCCACACGGTTTGAAAAAGAACAAGAGGCTGGTTCACTGACCGTCACATTAATGTCGGCACGCGTCAGGAGCCGTGTAATCGACGACGGCGGTAACGGAGCATGCATTTCACTGATAACCGTGTCACTTAGTCCATCCCGCAAGACGTTAAGTGGTAACCGTAACGCTTAAGTCCACAATTAAGATATCCAGGAGATGAGTTTGTCATACAACGCTGGAAAATGTCCATCGCTCTTATCATGAAGCTTGGCATAGCCTGGGCTTGAGTTGCGAGGAGAGACAAAATTGACTCGATCAGAAGCCAAAACCTGTGGGATTCAAGTTCGCGACGTACTTTGTTTGAGGGCACTTTGGTCACGGTGGATTCGTGATCAAACCCCGCTTCTCACTGGAAGCAACTTGATCGCGTGTTATAATCCATAAATGATGCTACTTTCGTAATTAGAAGTCAAACGGCAGACGATAAAAAAGTGAACGTTCAAAACTTGCGCTTACCTAATCCAGGTACTCCACGGCAAAAGGTGTCAAATAAGCCGGGTCATGTTGCTAAAAAGTCCAAAGGATGCAAAAATCGTGCATTTATATCCGCATAGAACCAACAAGAGTCAAGAGCTGCCCCGGAATATGAGCTTTCCTTTTAACGCACGGGTGCAGCTTCGTCTATTGCATCAGCTCTGAGCTGTAATTTTGGCTCGAGCAGTCAAGCATCTCAAGAAAACATGCGTCAGATTATCCAAGTACAAGCGATTAAGGCAACATTCGTTTAACAGGATTGCGTTCGGTCGAAAGATAAAGAAGAGAATAGGCCTGTTACAGAATTTGGCGAAACAAATTCAAAACAATAACGAACTGAAAACACTGAAAGGACCTCTCCTAGAACGCGATTCTGAGGATGAAAACTTAGCGCAAAATGCTCACGAGAGCAGTATGAAAAAAATGGGATAGGAAGGCTCAGACGATCAATGTCTACCGAACAAACTACTTTATCGTGGTTCGGACACAGAAACGTCTGAAGTTTAAGCGTGTAAATTTGCAACTCTTAAAAAGCGGACAGCAAGAGGGATAACACGATACATTTGTTTAAACACATGCTGTCAAGACAGGACCACAGCATGAACAATGTAGTATCACGACTGATTGACAGGCAAAAGGACATGTTTTTGGTGATGCTAGATTTTAAACCCACATTGGAGCAATGTCGAACGAATCACAAAACCCTGAAGATAGCAGCG